TAGACGTAGTTTCCGCTGTCTGTCAATAGATGGCGTTGTAATTCTCGGGCATTCTGGATCCTTCGATATTCGTTCAACTATTCGGCGGTAGATGGCGTTACTCTTACCGGCGTAACAGTATTTTACAATACGCGGCACCGCGGTTGTTACTCATGGCATTTCCAACATTCAATAGCGGTCGGCTTAACGTGTTATACGAATTGTGAAATTTGAGGTAGAAACCATATTCTGATAATGGCCGTCCACATCGAATAGAAATGATTCCCAATCCTGCGGACAGAATGGAAAGCAGTCGACGTCGCCCAAAACACGTCATTTCGGATCCTCCCGATCCACTAACCGGTCATCGTTCTCATCGAACCCATCGCTTGCGATGAAGGGCTCGACGAGTAAATTAACCCACAGGCACAGCCCACTGAGTTTCTCGCCGGATCTTCTCAGTGGGTCGCGTTTCCGATCCGGTGGTATATTCTGCGAAGCACTGCTCTTACTAGGGCCAGTGTTAGCAACACTCCCGGTTTGAGCCCCGTGAGCTCACCTACTAGCTCGGTGAATCTAGAATAACCCCTCGAGGTTACTAGAATAGGTAGGAAAAAAAAAGAATATATTTTGACAAATTAGGTAGCGGTAGGGAGCGGCTTGGCTCTGCCCCTGGCATTGCTGAAGTCCATGGGCGACGGTAACCACTCACCATCAGGTGGGCCGTATGCTCGTCTGCATACAAGGGCAATAAAAAAATAATAATAATAGCAAAAAATCTACGAATAAATAATAAGTCTATTCGTAGCAAAAAATAGAATATTCGTAATAAATGATAGATAGATATTCTGAGAAAATGTGAGTGCGAATTATATTAAATCTGTCAATGATCCCGCCAAAAATAAAACTCCAAATAGGTTATTAGTAAGGTCACAATTCTACATAGGTATCTATCTACGCAAATAAAACCTATTTATTAATAAAGGCAAAGTTTTTTTACATATGTATTTGTAAAAAAAAATTGGCTTTTTACCCAAACAAACGAGTATATGACGGCAGACTAATATAAAAAAATAGAATTTTCGTGGTCAGGCATTCTGAGAATAAAATGGGAATGCGAATTATATTAAATCTCTCGATGATGCCGCCAAAAATAAAAATCCAAATACGTTATTAAAAAGGTCACAATTTAACATTTCAAAAGATTTGAAAATTATTGTTTGTTTTTTTAGAGCGCGGTCTTCCAAAATATTCTTGTTCTAAAATTATGTTGAACGTCACAGTATTACACACATCGTAATCTTTTTTATAAATGTCTTTATTGAATCTACAAGCAGACGCAGTTTTTTTTATATAGATAATTTTCATCGGAACGCCAAAATGTCCATTAGGACCCTAACGTTAGTAATTATACCAAATCGATTTTTTTATTGAAATTAATAGCTTCAATGTACACTTTTGTAGACATAGCGTTGCATCGTCTAGAAATTTAATGCCCATTTTTCCGTCCAGCAGGGATGTTAAATATATCAATTTCTCGGTATGCATACCAATGTTACCCAGATCATAAATCATATACCAAATAAAAATTGTGCATCGTACCAACGCAGTAACACAAATTTTCGAAACTGATAATGCACAACACTGCTTTTCTTAACAGATCTTATAAATATGGCAATATTTACGATAAATTATAGTTTCAATATTGTTTATTTTGTTTTCCAACTTTATCAATCGGGAGAGATAGCAATAAATAAATTAAAGAAACAATTCCTCCTCCACCTCCCGTCGTTTTTCTGAACACTGAGGGTCATGACCCCCCGCGGCATCAGTTTCTCCCGTACGATTTCCCTCCATCTGCTGCGATTCTTAGCTTCATGAAGAGCATTGTGGAAGTCGTTCAGAGAAGATCAATTAAAGCATGCAAAAAGTTAGAAACACACTAAATAGAAAATAAATAAAAAAAACTCTTAGGTGAATATGAGTATGCCATAAAAAAAAATGTCGTATACCAGATTTATTCGGCCAATGCTTGACATCCCTGCGTTCCAGTCAATTTGTTTTAATGGCGTAAAGTTACTCTAAGTCAACGTCTGACTGCATTAAAGTCTGACTACATCATGTTAATCGCAAGCGTCTTGTCTCAACGTTTTACATTATAACACATAGTGGATGATAATTTATTCAATAATAAAACAGTTTACGGTTTGTCGAGGAGAACTTCAACCTCAGCGGCAGGCTCATTCACATCAGAAGTCCTGCTTGTTTTGGTAATTAAGTAAAAGTGTTCGGTAAAGTTGATGTGTCAGATAGCTTCGTAATAACTTAGATGTTTGTTCGTTCTAAGGGATCAATCACATAGAGCCTTCGACAGTTGGTATAGCTTCGTTTTAAAGATAAGAGCGAAGAAAAACCATTGTATTAAGGTCATCAAAGTAATGCCATGCAATATGTTCGCCTAAAAAAAGCTAAAAAGTGCTGACTGAATATGTTTTGAACATCGGAAAATCCCTCCCGACAGTTACTGCTAGTATCTCGTCACCAATTAGGCACGGTAACTCCATTCCCGCCATAGAAATCCTTGGTCAACCCATAACGTGGGCTTCGAAGGCTAAGTACTTAGGCGTCAATCTCGACAGGAGGATGACTTTTGGGGCCCCCAATTAAGTGCGCGACCGAGCCGCATCGACTCTATCAGTCGACTCTACTCTACCCCAGGATCTGCAAGCGAAGTAAATTATCTCTTCATAACAAGGTGACACTCTATAAAACTTGCATATGTTCTGTCGTAATAAATATAGTACCGATACATAAGTATCTTAAGGAAGCGTCAGAACGCTATTTCGACAAGGCGGCGCGACACGAAAACCCCCTAATCGTGACTATCACTAATTACTTATCCGACACCGACTGGGCAACACAAAGGCGCCGTCACCCAAAACATGTCTTGTCGGATCCCCCGGATTCACTCTCGGTTCTTTTAGGACCCTCAAGCACCGGTTATCGTCCTCGTCGAACTCGTCTACTCCAACGAAGAGTTTGTCGTGCGAACTAGCCCATAGACACTTCTCAGCCTACTGAGTGTCACGCTGGATCTTCTCAGTGGGTCGTGATTCCAATCTGGTAGTAGATTCAGCGAAGCATTGCTCTTGCTAGGGCTCACCTACCCATCCGGGCGCGATTTATTTACGCGTATACCCCGTGACCGGTCACTACCAAAACGACACTTCGCTTAAAGTCACTAGTATATCGTAATTATGCCGTAACACGTTAAGTTTCAAACCATTTCTATTTTTCGTTCATTTTGATTCGCTAATGACGCGGCGACGCGCCATTATTTCAACGTTCAATTAAATTTGAAATTTCAATAAACGTGAACAGTGATGCCATCTAGTGACATTAATCAGAAGCGATCATGACAGCACCTATACAAACATAATTTTAATACATAGTATAGACTATAGTCTATAGTCACTATTCCAAAAGCTCAATAATAATAGCCTGTTTGTTCAACATTAATGTTTAGAGTAGGCTATGCAGCACGGGCGTCCCCAAAATGCTAATGTGGGAAACATCCATACGTAAGAGCATCCCCCTCCTAATTTATATCCTGAGTACTGGTGTTAGGTTAGATTGGTTGCCGCACGTGTTTCTGCCGCGACGATCTGAAAAAAACAACAATAATTTTCAAATCTGTTGAGCTGTTTACATTGTGACCTCTTTAATAACCTAATTGGAATTTTATTTCTGACGAGATTGTCGAGAGCTTTAGTAAAATCCGCTTTCTAATTTTATTTTCGGAGTACCTGACCACAAATAGATAATATTTCCTTGCATTGCTGACGTCCATGGGCGACGGTATCCACTCACCATCAGGTGGGCCGTATGCTCGTCTAACTACAAATGCAATAAAAAAACGCTCAATAACAAACGCATCGATAGATAATGTTGGTGGCCATGTGACACTCTTAAATATTAAGTGTATTATTTATGTACGAAACTAGTTTGTAGACAGTTCGTCCCAAGGAGTTTAAATGCTCTCTACCGAGATGTTCAAATTCAATTGCTTAAAAAGTTTAGTCTCCAAGCTTAGTATTTTGTGATAATCTGACCTGTTTTTAATTTGAATCGTATTTATATTCAATATTTTAATTTAAAGGAATGAAATTTGATTTTCGTGTTAACATCACTTTTAGACTGTTAATCTCACACAGGTTTGCTAATAATAATATGTTTATTAATTTTAGTCATTACTTTTTTAAATTAACAATGTAATATGTATTTGTTACTCATTTCACAATGCTGAGCACTTTTGTTAGTTCATTTTACCACATGCACAAGTGCACAGATACACACATGCACAGAAGATAGAAACTCACTCAGCCATATAGGTACACTACACTGATAACTGATATCACCACATATGTGTACTTTACCACAAGCATATAATTAAATGGACATTTCAAACCCAGCTTAACTATTTATAAATTTAAAAAAGGTAATAAATAAAAATTAAATAAATATTGATTTGAATTTGTTTTGTAGTAGTAGAATGTAAATGTCTTAGTGGTATAAATAAAATAGCTCTACTGGCAGCCCTATTGTTTGACACAAGCCGTTGTCATTCAACATTTTCCATATCTTCAAGGCTTAAAATTAAATAAATTTCATAATTTTTTAACTTGTATTTGCTTCTACAACATAAATCTTTTAGGTGATCTAAGCAACCATACAACCAAATTCCGAGATAACGACGCCATCTTGACAGTATTCGTGTCTGTCTAGGTAACCAAACTGTCAAAAAGTCAGCTCCCGCCGATTTTAGTGACGCATTTCCGGCAATTCTATCGTCTCGCTGGTGGCTGGCTTCCATTTTGTGGCTTTGGTGCGCTCGTTTCTTGTCTATAATTTTCGAATAGACTCATCTTTATGNGCAACCATACAACCAAATTCCGAGATAACGACGCCATCTTGACAGTATTCGTGTCTGTCTAGGTAACCAAACTGTCAAAAAGTCAGCTCCCGCCGATTTTAGTGACGCATTTCCGGCAATTCTATCGTCTCGCTGGTGGCTGGCTTCCATTTTGTGGCTTTGGTGCGCTCGTTTCTTGTCTATAATTTTCGAATAGACTCATCTTTATGGGCACGGTCCGTAGATAATTTTACTCTTTGGATACCATTATGGTCGTTGATCTTGATCAGTAAAGTGTCAAAACAATGGAAGTAAATTCTGTAACAATATTATTTTTCAGATTCCTGTGGAATTCTAAATATGTTAAAAATGTGAAATGGAAACTTCGTGGTTGAATTTGTGTCGATGTTGTTTGTCCGTTGATTGCAATGTGTCACTTTTGGACACTGAACAGAGAGTACATCAAAAATTTTTCGAAGTTACGAGCTTGAAGGTAAAAACATCTAATTCATAAATATGTAATATAAAATTTCATAATTAATCGAATAAAACGGAAAGATTAAAATCGTCGAGTCCAACAATTATAAATAATGAATTTAATCTACGTTATTTCAGTAGTGAACTATACAAAAAACAATGATTTTAAAATATTTGCCATAAAAAGTATAACCTTATAGTGTGTGATCAAGCCGTGCCATGGCTTGGTATTTCTCAAAGGTTCGAATTAAAATCTAAAAGGCATTGCAACTTTAGATCATTATGTAGGTATACGAATGAAGTCGATTCTCCATTAATGCTCTCTCGAATTAAGTACGTCCATAATAATAACATGTTCTGAATTTCTGCAACACGTATGGGCTTCAAGCTTAGTTGTGAATGGTGCAGGTCTGATTAGTTTATTAAGTAGGCTTGATTATCAATATAATAAATAAATAAATAAAATTCAAAACATAGCATAAGTTTGTGCATTCCCAGCTGCATTATGGTTAAACCGATTTAGTTGTTGACTGCAGTGCGAAATAGAGAAAAAATTCGATCCAACAAAAATAAAGTACAATTTTAATTTAGTATAAAACTATGCCGACATTAAATACACATTTTCTTTTAATGTAATTGTTTAAGTACAGTCAAATGACAAATAAAAAAAGACTAATAGAAAATTATTGAGATTGTTTAATGGATTAAGCCTATCTATATTTTAAGTGATTTCTATAAACTACTCTAAACCTAATGATCAAAGTTTGACTATAACCACTAAAATGTCTAGATTTAGATTTACTTATTGTAACATATTTTCTGTTTTGTTCTATAATTGACATTTAAAATAATAAGAAACCAAGAAAATGTTTTGTAAAAATGAAAGTGGAATATTTATATTTTTATTGATAAAGACAGTTGGAAATGTTGTTGTTGGCTATTTACATATAGAAAATTTATTTCATAGTTTGTTTATAGATTTAGACCACATAGAAAAGACAAAAAAAAACTATATGTGCAATCTAAAAGTAGATCTAAATTTAGACCTCTGGTTTTAAGTTATTAGGGTATTAGGATTATTGAGAGATAGGGGTTATTGAAGTATTAAGGTTTCAAAAAACGTTATAGAGTAATATTTAAATTGGTGTGGCCACAAACTTGATTGAGGATAAAATGGATAAATAAGCCGTCTTTAGAGACACAATAGTATAATAAAAACCCATTTGTTTGATATTAACAGAGAGTGCTGTATGAATATACAAATGCAATTGAGAAAAAGATGTTTTCATATCATTTGAAACATAAGATGCCTCTAAAGGTTATTGTTTATCCACGGCAGTTATGATAGGACTCATATTTACTGCCATATCAAAATGTCACATTAGTTTTGGTTACTGTGTTAATTGGACAGGCTAGCTCATGGCCCACTACGTATCAAACTGTTCTTTACTGTATACTTAAATGCATAGAATCAAATGCTAAACCCTCCCTTTTCTGATGTTAACCTACCATGTTTCAGATATCTGCTGATGACGGGCTACCGCAAAAAATCTGCAAAGAGTGTCTTACCCTTATGAACTTTGCATACAACTTTCGCACTCAATGCCTCAAAATGGATAACGAACTTCGGATACAACTCAAAGCAATGCTCAATGTAAGCAGTGAAGATTACTTTAATGATGAATCTGGTGATTTTGTTAATAGTGCCACCAACACTACAGATGATCCAGTGAAACAGCTAGAGACAGTCATCAAACAGGAGCAAAATGATAGCGATGATGAATGTTACTATGTTCTAGTCATTGACAGTCCTAAGAGTGATGAAGAGAAAGAAAATGAAAATGTTAATATGCCTAAAGAAGGTAGCAATCATGAAGTCAAACAAGTAAAACTTGAGTATAGTGAAGATACATCAAACTCTGTAAAAGACGAAATACACGCTACACAAAATCACTTTGAAGACTCAATCCATCAATTTCTTATGAACGACAGAGTTCCAGTTAATGTTCCAGCCACAATACTCGAAAACGAGGAGGAAAGCCAGGATAATGAGTATGAGTCAATGAACATAGATGAAACTCAGGATAGTGCATCTCAAGACTCTAATCATCAACAAATAACTGAAGTTGAAAATTTGACACATATCAATGAAGAACTAATTACTGATGATATGATGAAAGATCCTAAAAACATAATTAAAATTCTAACAAGCACTGGGTCTGATGGTACTATACTTTTAAAGAGTGATAACGGAGTTCAGTATTTAGCTGAAACACAGCTGGTGAATGATGAAGAAGATGGTGATGGGACATCACAAGAAGTAATCTTGTGTGAGGGTGAATCCCAGTTTCAAATACTGAAGTATGATGGTTCAGAACTTGTGATAGAATATGCTGATGACAGTCAAATTGCAACTGTTTTACAGCAAGAAGATGGATCATTCTTATGTGACTGTGGAGAACAATTCCAAGACTTAACAGAATATGAAAAGCATCAATATAAACATAACCCAGCCGGTGAGAATCTATGCAACTTGTGTGGAAAAGGTTTTGAATCGCCAGAAATTTTGACAGGGCACATGCTCCTTCACAGTGTGACTGGAGTGCTCATTAACTGTCCATTCTGTAATCAACTAATCAAAAGGACAGCCTTAACGCAACATATTAAGTACGGACACAATAACATCAAGCCACGGTGCAATATATGCTTGAAGACATTTGCAAATCCGAATAATTTGAAACGTCACATGATGATACACAGCGATATCAGGGAGTTTGAGTGCGACATCTGCTTTAAAAAGTTTCGCCAAAAAATCACAATGCAAACACATAGATTGACACATGTCCATCCGTTTACATGCTCGAACTGTGACAAAACTTTTCCCACAAGAGATGCTCTAAATAATCACAATGATTCCGGAGAGTGCTCCAAATCAAAAGTCATTAAAGTCAAAGCAGAGCTAATGAAAACCGTTAAACAAGAAGTTACAACTAACCTAGGGAAGTTGCTAGGGTATGCCTGTTCGCTATGCAAGAAAATGTTTTCAGTAGAGTCAGCATTGGAACAGCATGTAGAGAGTACCCACATAATTAATCCGACTGAACTACTTTGTTCAGAGTGCGGGGAGGTGCTACCCTCAAAAAAAGATATGCAGATGCATTCCTTGACCCATAAAAACTCAAAATCGAAGAGCATGAAACGCTTTGAGTGCAGCATATGCGGTAAAGGATGCGCTAGCCAAGCTATGTTGCAAATGCATGAACGCGTTCATACAAACGAGAGGCCCTTCCCGTGTCAGCTGTGTTCTTTGAGATTTAAAACCAAAACTCATTTGAGAACACATCAGCTGACACACACGAGGGAGAAAAAATTTGGTTGCTCCATTTGTATGAAATTCTTTGCACTTAAAGGTAATTTAGTTGTTCACTTGAGAACGCACACCGGTGAACGCCCATATGTCTGTTCATTATGCGGGGAAGCATTCATAGATTCTAAATATTTGAAAAAGCATAAATTGAAAAAGCACACCATAGAAAACGTATCACTGAATCAATATGAAAACAATCAATATGCTATTAAATTTGTTTAAACTACATATCTAAGTTAAAATTTAAGTCTTAAGTTTTAGGAATCATAGTGTCTTGCTTGGGTTATTTTTCTTTTGTTTTTTTTTTCTTTAGTTATGAGTGATGTCATTAATAAGAATGTTAAAAACATGAATTAAGCGTTGTTTTTTTTATTCTCTTTAATAAAGGAACACTAGGATATAATAAATCTGTTTCATTTTCGTGGTATAATTCAAAACAAAATTTTAAAAGAATTATTCACTTTTAAAATTTCTAAACCACAAATGACAAATGCTTCGTTATACAAATTATAATTAAACGGCAAATACGGGTTATGTAGCCTCGGCTTTAGGGTGCCGTTAACACTTCTTTAAAGACTACAAAGAAAGTTATGTGACCGTGTCTAGTAAAGGCTTGCTATATATTTGGGTCGTAATTGCTGCTACAAATACTAAAAAATAGTATACCTAATCAGTTAAATTAACTCGTTAAAAGTCAGGTTATACAAATGTTTGCCAAAGATAATTTACTTAATTAGTGTGCTCACGGCTATGCCAATAAATTAATAATAGTTAAAAATATTCGTTCACAATTTTCTGTGATAAAAAACTTCTAAGACTATAGCCGCCATCTAGTGTTAAAGCGTAAAACTATTTTGGCTTGTTTGTGCAGACTAACTCGTCAAGTTGTTGAGTGGCTGCTGAAATGAATGATATCGCTTTTTAAGACCGGTTAGGTAATCATACATCAAAGTCTCAATCGTATTGGAATAAATTACCATTCCCTTTCAAACCGGCCATAAAGTCTATAATTCAAAGATAGAGCGATATAAAAGGGGCGTGCTACGCCCACCAGACCGTCCAATAAACATGGGTGAAATTTTGTGAAGTACGTATATTAATCAAAAGATGGCGTGCTAACAGAAATTATATTGATAAAAACTTCTAGTACTTATGATTGCCTAGTACTTTAACCGTTTGTGGGCTAATTTGTGATGGGACACTTTTGTTTTCTCGACAAAGTGGAGGATGATGATCAATGTTTTTATCGATTTGTCATTTTATTAATATAATTAATTGTACCTAATAAATAATATGTTTTTTCTAATAATATGTCTACATACGTATGTTCTATATGTAATGTAATGTAATGTTACAAAAAATTTCAATTATTCCAACAAATTGGCCATTTAAGAAAGGTTAATTTTTCTGTTTGTTTGTAAACTCCTCTTGTCCTCAATATTGTTTTTTAAAATGTCAGATATCAAAAAGAGAATGTGCCTTGCAATTATTATTACAACAACTTGATAAGACACAGAATATTAATAAATATGAATAAACTTAAGAAATATATTTACATAATAAACACACCTAATATTTAAGAACTACTACTACTACTACTATTACATCACTATTTCTGTAGTATTGGTACCGTTTTTGAGTTTATTTAGAAACGGAAATAAAAATCTCGTAACATGTTTCTTTCCGTTTCTAATAAACTCAAAAACCGACGACATCGCTACGGCGGAATTGTGGAGTTCGCGTTTTGTTAAATTCTATAAATGACGTCAATGTAAGTTACGAAAAACTGACAAGCCAATGTACTGGGAACACATAAACGTTAAAAGATATAAAAACCAAATACCTAACAACGACGTGGTTTTAATTCTTGATAAATATGCAAGCCTAGTATATTGTGACTCTAACTAATCGAGAAAGGTCGACGCCGCTGCCGAGCAGTCCGCGATGATGAAGAGAAAATTTTTGTTGTAGGTACTGAAAAATATTTCTCTTAAACAAAGAACAAACTATTATTGTTTTTAGGAAAATTCTTATAAATTTTTAATAATATGAGAACTTAGTATTTTTTGTAAGCAAATTGTCTGTAACACATTAGCAATAAATTGTTCCACAGTAGAATTTTTTTGAAGTGAAACTTCCTTATCGGCGTTGGAAAAAAATTTACCGTCACATTTTTCGGTTACGCGTCACTTTTTTCCGTTACGCGCCATCTGTTTTGTATTCATGTCTATGATAATAAAATCCTTTTGTTTAAACTTTATCTAATTTAACTTTTTTGTATTCATGTCTATGATAATAAAATCCTTTTGTTTAAACTTTATCTAATTTAACTTTATTTAACCAATTTCTAGAAAGTTGCATGTAGATCATTTTTCGAAAAATAAGGCCATAAACAAGTTTCACTTCTTACGTGTGTACACTAGTACACGCACACATTTTTTGATTAAGTAGATTAGCCAACATTGACAACGCTTCTCTGTGATTGCATATTAAAGTTTACAAATAAAAAATGTTATTTGACAAAAATAATTATTTCGACACAGTCTAAAAATTCCCTACAATTATTACTTAACGATTGAAAACATTTATTTAACGAAAATATTTCTTTGGTCGTCAGCTCATTGTTTCAAAAATACCGTCTGACATCTATTGTACATTAGTGATACCAGAGTGATACAAATGCTCCTGAAGCGTAAGCTGTTCAAATAAACTACAAAACTCGCATCCGTTATTCTCAAATCTGCACAATTTGTCGATGCTGTCGAACGCAACGAAAATGTTAATGTTACATTTACCTCAGCCTGGATTCGTAACGACGATAATAATAAAAAGTTTGAGATGACGTAAAATAAAAGTTTCACTTTAAATTACTTTAAAAACTAGCCCGAGATAACACAGTAAGGTAATTATTATAAATACTGCTGAAGTTAATAAATGAAAATATAAATTTGAAGCTTGTTGATAAGATTCTTCTCTTGCTTATTCTGTATTATGGTTTCAACGACATCTTTCGTTGCTATCCAAAACTATTTGAATACTTTAAAATGAAACAGCTTTTCAAAACCATTATAGGTGGCGCTGTAACTGTTTATAACCCTAATGTACTTATGGTCGCCTAGTATGTGAACCGTTTATGGGCAAATGTTGATGAAGCAAACTTTAGGACGCAAAAAAAAATAGTTGAGGAGTTTAATCGATAATTATTATAAATATATACGAATATCGCCATGTGTAGTGTTCAAATACAGGCTTGTCTATAAATAATAATGTTATAAATTATGTAGGTATGCAATACAAATTTTAAAATACCTATGGAATTAATTATTTTGTTAAATTAATTCTATAATAATTAAATAATAATAACTTACTCAATGTGGATACGTTGACGATCTAATTAATATTGGGTGGCTTTAAAATGTAATCTTTACGATTACATAAGCTACTAACAAAAATATTGATAATTGACAAAACATTTTCTCAGTATGACGATTGGATCGAATATGCAGCGGAATCCTCGCAATATTTATTTCAAGAATCCTGTTGAAATTTTAATTTAGAGTGTTTGTTTCGCCATTTCGTCTCAGAACTGACTTTTTTTCAAATCGGTAGTAGAGGTAGTAGTTCTCATACGAATGAGAACATGTTGACATGTTTTCATACGAATGAATTACATGTTTTGAACATTTTTGAAGCTATTTGAATTATGTTTATAGAGGTTGTTGAATCCTTAACTCTTTCTCTCTCTCTTCGATCGGTTCCTTACTGCTGAGGATCGTGACTCCGTCCGATTTCGTCAACCAACTGTCTCCATCGATCCCACCCTGCAGCCCGGTGGAGTGCGTCGCTGATAGGTATCCCCAGTTCCTCCGCTATTTGGTCCGACCATCGTTTGGGACCTCTACCCCTAGGCTTTTTTCCCTCTATTTTACCGGTCACCACAAGGCGTTCCAAATTGCTGGTATCCTTAACAATAACAATTTTTTTTAGTTTTGTTCTTTCTTACCAAAATATTTTTTTACAAAAGATGTCATTTATCATTAGGAGGTCATTTATCAAAATAATTTATTTTTACAACGACTTATTAAATATGTGGACACACATACACGGGATTACACGATATTACAAATTTAATTAATCGAACGCTTCTTAGTTTGTTAACCATCTGCTTCATGTTGATTTCAAGGGAGTTACTATAACAATATCTGTATTTATAAATAAATACCTGTAGAAGTATTCTCTTTTCAAACTAGGATTCATATAATTTAGTTAACTAATTCTGTCTTTGTTCTCCAAGTCTGAAATAAGCTACACGTTGTATTCTTTCACCAGCGATATAACATGTCCATTATCCATATCCATATAACTACATCAAATCTGTGTTGATGGAGGAATGGCTAAAATGATGCTCAAACCATAATTTTACTAAACAATCATGGCCCAAAGTCACGCTTGTCCATAACGATTAAATGGGCAGAAAGAACCACGTATTTATAAAAAAATGTATTATTGCTATTAAATGTATTATTTGATGATATAACTATGTTGGAAACAAAGTATGTGAAAAATATAGTCGTCCGTTGCCGTAATAAGTTCGGTTGCGTCATTTCTAACTGTTGCCGGGCGCAAGCGTACCAAGACTTCATAAAATCGAAGAGGTGTTTTAGTTTAATAAAATCAAAACTTGCTCTCTGCAACAGCTGTCGACGGTCGCGCGACGTCACTCTCACAACGTAAACAACGCGAAGTGAACACGAGTTACGAAAAACTAGCAAGCAAAAGTACCAGGAACGCATAGCTATTAGAAGATTACTCGATTATTTGAATAGCGCGCGGATTGAATTTTACTTAGATAAAATTTTACATTGCAAATTATTTATCTATAGGCCTATTATTCAAATGGCTTCAAAATGTTAAAATGATAAATGAGTCGACTATTATCAAAGCCGGCAATCTGACTTTTGGACAATTATTGGTAAATCAGAAAAACGAATTATTGACTTTGTATTCCATTGGCAGTCACAAAACTCTTCGGAACGACATCTTAGATAAATAACAGGTTAACTATTAACCTTTATTTAATGCAGGTTTTGAAACGTATTCTTTGAAGGAGACGATTATATTCAAATCAATCCGTATTGACATATGAAAACATTTTTTTGTCCAAATGCACAGATTGCCACCTTTGATAATAGACGACTCAAATATACAGATCTATATCAATGAGCATATCTATATATGTACATAATAACAATGATGTTATACTAAAAAGAGGTAGATACGTTATATTAGTACTAATACGAAGTCAAGCTTGTCCGCGGCGTATGCACCTATATATATTTATAAACACACTAAACTGTACGAAATTATGCGGAGGAATTAAATCGACAATAGT